AATAATAAATATTTTTATAATATATAATAAATAAATAAAATGTATATAATAAATATAAAATTATAAAATAACGTATCCAATGTACTGAAAAATAGCATATCAAATGTACTAAAAAAACATATCTAATGTATTGAAATAGCTTATACAATATATGTAATTTATGAAATTTATATATTCGTAATTTTAACAATTTTCTTATTTTGTATACGTAATAATTTATATATAATTTCAGTATATTTTATACATTTTTTATGAATATTAAAACATATTATTTCCATATATAATTCCGTGTATAAATTTCTTATAGGACTGATAAGCTTACAGAAATTATTCAAGATCCTAAATCGCATAATAAGATAGCTTCACCTAGAGAAATATTAAAGAGAATCTAGAAAATGGAAAAAATATCAAATCAGAAAAGGATCTTAAAAATTTCTATATAGAATTGCTAAAAGCGGTCAAAAATCCTGAAAACTATAAATCCTTAAAATTAGCAATCTTCAAAGCACAAGCTGAACTTTCTAGAGAAGAAGCTAGAGATAAAAATGTTTGGAATCACTGTCATATCACAGGTGAATTCTGAAGTGTGTCTCATAATAATTGCAATTTCAAATTTTAGATTGAGTTATGGAAGACACTAATCCCAATTATCTTCCATAACTTTCAGGGATATGACTTTCACTTGGTCTATAAATCTGTTGGACGCTCAGGTAATTCTCTTCGAATTATTGTTATTGCTGAAACATTTGAGCGATACAAATCTATGAAGGTAGATCAACTTAAGTATATTAATAGTATGCAATTTATGAATTCTAGCTTAGCCTTTCTTATAAAGAATTTGGACAATAACCATCCAATTATAACTGAGTATTTCAAAAAGCAAGGCTATTCTTCTGAACAGATTTCCTTAGCATATCACAAAGGAATTTTTCTCATGAGCACATAAACTCTAACAACTGATTTAAGAAAATAGAATTACCTTTGATTAATGAGTTCATAATGTTCTTGGAGGTAAGATTTCTCAAGATGATTATGAGCATACCCAAAAGATATGAAAGGAATTAAGATAATTTATATGCAAAAACTTAGGAGAATATAATGATCTCTATCTTAAGATAGATGTACTTAGTCTAGCAAATGACTGGACAGCATTTAGAAAGACATTTATGCATTATTATGGCCTTGATCCAAGTATCTGCACCTTCTCTATTCTAGAATGCCATGCTCAAAATTATCAAGGTCAAGATCAAGCTATTCACAGAAATGGCTTTATATAACTTTATTAAAAAAGCAAAATGAGGTGGTATTGCTATGGCACTACATAGACATTTTCAAGCAAATAATCCTAGTATAGTAAATGTTGATTCGAATTTCTTTTAATTGAAAATTATAAGTGGGTTGCTAGTAGAGAACATCTAAAGAATAATCCTAAGATGCAAAAGAAATATTTCAAAATGATTCTCAAGATTGGAGCAGATGCATCACGTGTTTCTTCATTATGATTAATTTTCATTTCCTCCTAAAGACTCACAACTATTTGAGGGACTTACCTCCAGTTGTGGAAAATGTTGCAGTAAAAAAGGATATGCTATACTCATACAATGCCAAGCTTTTGAATGATATGGATGGTAAATGATTTTGTGTAACAAAAAAATTAGTCCCTCATCTTAGTTCACGAAAAAATTATGTTATTTATTATCAGAAGCTCCAGTATTATATAAAGTTTGGCATAATTGTAGATGAGGTCACAGAGATTTTATCATTTTAACCAGACGAATTGGTTGGCTCCATATATGGGTTGTGAGCTAGGAAAATGAGGTTCTGGGACATTTTAACCAAAGTTAAAATTTTTACTTTATATTA